CGGACGTGGGTGGTGATGGGGTGGTGTGGTGGTGGCCGCCGCTGCCGGTGGGCGGAGGATGGCCGCAGTTGGCGGGTGGAGAGCCACCGTGGTAAGGTGGAGTGCCGGCGTGATAAGGTGGAGTGCTGGCGTGATAAGGTGGAGTGCTGCCGTGGGATGGGGTTGGGGTCGGGTGGCTGCCGCCGCCAGAACCGTGTGGTGGAGCGAAGGTCGGGAGATTCGGAGCTGCGGACAAAAGCGTGTAAAAAGACGTGAGTTTTTCTTTTCCTTTTTTTGCTTTTTATTTTTATTTAATTTCACACGTTGGATGTATGAGTTCACTTAGACAATTTTTTTTTAAAAAAAAAAACAAAAGGAGAAACAGGAGTAAGACAAAGATTCTTGACATTTAATTATAAAGATACCCATAAATCCTCTCGCTAGTGGCTAATTAAGACAGTTATTTAGTTACACACTCGTATTTTTTACTCTGCATGCCAAGCATTATGTGTATTTGGAAACGTGATACTGCATGTTGTGCAGGTAAAAATATACGTATCAAAAAAACATAGACCTGTGGGAGTTGGGGTATTCGGGTCGGGAGGATAGTAATTCTTCTGATCGTCAAAGCTGGCAGCGGACATAACCGGGACGACGACTAAGTTGTGAGAAAACATTGCCACCATAGCAGCCCATAAGAGCAAAGGTACCACCCGCCAGCTTCTGTTTGCTTCCATCCTTAAGCAGTGTGGGATCGGAGTTGACAAAAACACAAAAAAGGCTTACGAGGTAGTAAGAAGGAGAGAAGTGAAGTTGAGTGGTAAGGATGGAAAAAATGGAGGAGCGGTGTACATATAAAGACTGAAGTAAATATAAGCAGGTGAGTTTGTGTGTGTAGTTAGTTGTGTCCAGCAGGTGCATTTATTCCTCTCATTTACACCTCACATTTTTCTTTTTATGCTAACAATATATATATATATATATATTTTTTTTTTATCTTTATTTTTTTGTTGGGATAATGATAAGAGTAAATTGTAATTTTAGTCCTATATGTTTCACTACCTTAATTTTTCGTCCTCTTCGGATTGTGATTTGGATTTTCGTCCCGTATGTTTACAAAAAGGTTACAAAAAAAGTCATTTTCATACATAAGAGACGAAATTTGAACCTTTTTTTGCCAAACATAAAGAACCTTTTTGTTGCAAAAAAAAACGACATTTTTGTAATATTTTTGCAAACATATGGGATAAAAATAAAAAACACAATTCAAAGAGGATGAAAAAGTTAAGATAGTGAAACATACAAGAATACAATTACAATTACAATTTATGTCCATTGCATATGGAGCTGGAAGAGTCATTGTTGACAATTTTTCTAGCATAGTGCTAAGAATGTACTAGATCAAAATGGCTCAATTAAATTCTAGTGCTTCTTCTATTAGTGAAGTTTCTAGAAAAAATATATCAAACGACGCAACGCACCTTGGGTCGCTATGGAAACAGCCTCCTTGTATAATTACAAGGGTAAGGTCTGCGTATAACTGACCCCCCAGACCCCAACCTGTTGGGAATATACTGGGTATGTTGATGTTGATGTTGATGGGATGATAATTAGCATCTTTT